TCACTACACGAATTAAGCAAACGTGAACCTTGCAAGACCTCCTTCCCCAGGATTAAGCAACCTGAGATACTGAACGTGAACAACCCAGAGTCATTAAGCATGGCTCAGATGTTGAACGCCTCAGAACAGAGATCCCACAAGGGAGGATCAAGCGGAGCAGAAATGCAACGCATAGAGAACCTCTTTCAGAGGATTGCATTCTGTCCAAGGGCCCAAACCCTGGGATTTAGCCCTCCATTAAAATAGCAACAGAAACGAAAATAGAAGAAAACATGAAAGTGGCAACAGCGATGCAAGCAAAACGTAACAGAGAAGAGGAAGAAGAAAACGAAAATGGAAGCAGGAACAGAATACAAAATGTGAATAATAATAGCAAAACGTGAATGTTCAGATACAAGAGGAAGATCAACCAGAAAACAACCAGAAAACGTGAAGAACAAAGAGCCACCAGCAGAAAACGAAAAAAAACAAAGTTCCCAGAGAGACAGCAACGTGGTCACATCAAGTCTGCATGTGGGAGCTGCTCTTTTCCCTAGAAAAACCCTAATAGAGTGTAAAAATGGGCCCCCAACTGGTCTGACCCGAAAATACAATAAAAATAAACGAAAAATAAAATAAAATGTTGATATGGCATAAGTGGTGCAATGGTGACATGGCATGTGATGTGGCAGATGACGTGGCAGCTCTTCTTGAAGTCCAAAAATTTATTCCAAGCCCAAATAATTATTAAATTGCCCTGAAAATAAAAATTGGGATAATAAGATCTAGAAAATTCAATTTAGTTAAAATATGAATTACCGGTCCAATTAAAGCCCAAATAGAAAACAGTGCAGAATATAAACAATTAAGCACAAATCAGAGATTAAGATAAGCACAGAAAGGTAAGAAAATAAGGGAAAATAATGACTCATCACCTTAGCATGTGAATAATTCCAAATTACAAATTCTGCGAGTCTACACATTATGAATAGAAAAAATTGAGACCATTGTATGCATTTCACGGAAAGAGTAAATGGATGAAAAGAAAACCAAAACAGGAACAAAATCAAAGTACATTTGAAATGCAGAAAGAAGTGTCAATAGCCATCAAAGTGAAGAGCATTTTCATAACATTAGACAGTGATATATCCAAAACAGAACAGTATCAGAGGCATAAATGGCTTATCAAAATGGGAAAATGTTATGCAAAACAGGCAGTGCACACCTGGCCAAGCTTAATTTCTCCCCTGTTAGGATTGTATAGCACATGAATGTTACAAACCACAACTTTACTACACTACATTTCCTTTTCAGCTCATGCTGACTCTGCTCAAACAAGTGCGTTCTTGAAAGAGCTCAATCCTCCTAACATAATTCTTGTACATGGGGAAACTAATCAGATGAACAGGCTCAAACAGAAGCTCATGAGTCAATTTTCTGATCGCAACACCAAAGTTCTTACTCCAAAAAACTGTCAATCTGTTGAAATGTATTTCAGTTCGCAGAAAATGGCAAAAACCATAGGGAAGCTGGCTCAAAAAACACCCGAAGTCGGTAAAACTGTCGGTGGTTTGCTAGTTAAAAAAGGCTTCACATATCAGTTTATGTCACCTGAGGATCTCCATGTCTTTTCACAGCTAACAACAACAAACATCACTCAGAGAATTACTGTCCCTTATTCAGGAGCCTTTAGTGTCATACATCATAGACTCAAACGGTTATATGAGAGTGTAGAGCAGTCCGTGGATGAAGAATCTGGAGTTCCAACATTGCAAGTCCATGAGTGCGTTACAGTGAAGCTTGAATCAGAAAAGCATATCTCCTTGCATTGGCCATCAGACCCCTTGAGTGATATGGTGTCAGATTCAATTGTTGCTCTGATTTTAAAAATAAGTCGCAATGTGCCAAAACTAATGGATGAATTTGATGTCCTTAAAATGGAGGAAGAGAATAAGAAGAAGACAGAGAAGGTTATGCTTGCCCTCCTTATCTCACTTTTTGGAGATGTGAAGGTAGGTGAAAACGGGAAAAAATTGATAATTAACATTGATGGGAATGTTGCAGTGCTCAATAAAGAAAGTGGGGAAGTTGAGTGTGAAAATGAAGGTCTAAAGGAACGGGTAAGGGCAGCATTCCAGCGCATTCAAAGTTCTGTGAAACCAATTCCTCTTTCAGCACCTTAATTTTTTCCTAGTTAGTATAGTTTGAAGTCAAATAAAAGATAGATTAGATCAAACATTTCTTACCCTTGACTGAGAATCCTTGACAATTATACATATTCAAAGAATGGTCACTGAATAAGAGACTATGTCAAGATTAAAAGTAAAATCTTGAGGTTCCCAAGGATAACCAGACTGTTATCTGTGGAAGTGTTTGAGACTTAAGTTGAAATGACATGGATTTTGTATGTAGCCCTCACAAGACAGTCTAAGAATGAGACATCCAATGCACAAAAATATTACGACAGTTTAGCAACACACTAGGAGAACTCCTTGGGTCACGTATAATTTTCACCTAAAACGTGTTGAAAAGCAAGTGTTACTAACATTCCCATCGCATAGGACTTGAAAGTTGAATTGGAAAAGCATATTATGTGAATAATAATTTCATAGAAAATAAGTTCAAGCTATATATATTTATCTCCCCTCCCTTCATAATTTTGTTGATGATGGTGTATGGTCACCACATTTATGTCACTTCACTCTGGGGTCTGGGCTGAGTGACATTACATATATACGACGGTCTTCATGAAACTTTTGCAGAACTCCAAATCCCGTAATGCACTAGACATGTCTATAATATAGCCAACAACCGGAGCAAAGCGTGTCAGAGGAAGTTAAGGGAATGAGGGAACATTTGATGTAGATGTAGTATCTTGATCAGGTCAGCGTTTAAATTCATGGTTCACCAAGTTTTCTTCCATCTGGTATGAACTTATGCATGACTAGTTCAGGACTTGTCAAAATAATGAAATAGAAATTCTTTTAAATTAAAACCGGTTATAAAAGCAGTAATAAAAACAATATGTTGAAGTTTTTTTTATATTTTTTTGAAAAATAGGGCCAAATATAATTTTTCTTGTGATACTGAAACAATAATGTTTTGATTTGACATTTATTGAGTCAACCGTTCAGTAATTGTCTAGTTCGGAAAATGGGTAAATTGCATATATTATTATTAAAAAAAAATTTATTACATGTGAATTTTTATACAAAATTCATAGAAAATGTTGTTCTTACAAATTTTTTGGTAAAATTTTATCTCTAAATAATACCTTTGTAGATAATATGTTTTTGCGAATTTTAAAATTTGTAAGAAATTTTTTTGCAAAAATAATTCGCAAGAAAGTTTCATACAAAAAAAATCAAAGAAATTACTATTCGAAGATAGCTTTTATACAATTTCTATTAATAATTTTTCAATTTTTAAATGCTTATAATGAATTCATCCAAAACATTAAAATTTGTTTCCACAAATCTAACACATGCGATAGATAACCTCTTAAACTCTTAGATTATAAATTATAGATCTAATACTCAAGTAACTCAACCATACAAAATCAACTTGTAAGGTGAGTGTTGCCCCAACTTATATACTCTTTAATTATTTTATTTTTAATTGATGTGGGACTTTAGGAAAATCTTTTAATTCTTGAACTTATAAATTTATGTATATAATTTTTTAATTTTTCCTGTGGATTAAAATTGATAGGAAAATCTGCAAGAAAAATTATCTGTGAAATTTTTCTACCATTTAGTAAACATTACTTGCAAATTTATTTTTACAAGAAAATCTGCAAGAAACAAGATAAAATTCTTACAATATTTTTTGCAAATTTTTACCATATGATCATTAAAAGTGAAGCAAAATTTGTAAAAGAAAATAAAATAAATAAATAAAATTGTAGATTATTTTTCATAAAAAAATTTGTAAAAAATTTCTGTAAATTATTTTTAGCAAATAAATTTGTAAATTTTTTTATAAAATTATTATTGTAAGAAAATTCAAAAAATAAAAAATAAAAAATCTAGTAGTGTATACGATGATTAAAAAAAAAAAAGGTAAGTTTCATGATTGATTCAGAAAAAGAAGGTAAATTAATTCCATGATCTCTACTCCACGTACGCGTGAACATGCAATACGTCTATTTCGATACGATCGAGTATATAAGAAATCAGTTAGTATATATTTAGGTTCACTGATTCTTATTAGTTGTATGTTATTCCTCCGGTATTGAGTCAATATAACTAGCTATATTAATTGACGTTATATTAGATTAAATTAATTTATGCAATAAAATAAATCTCGCAAACCACAACGTTTTCTCTGGCTGGAGTGTCACACGTGTGTGAATAATAAGTGGTGGGGCCTAGGTTGGCTCTCGTTTTGGCTCGCGCGCACAATTGCTTGGCATTGGCACTATAAATTACAGACCAACTTCCCTCAAATTCAGCAATTGAATCAACGCACTCTTGTTTCAATTTCAATCAACAAGAGTGTAAATGGATGAGGTGGGAAGGAAGGAGAGTGAGTATCATATTAAGGGAGGAGTAGATACTGAAGACAGCGGCATGAGCATGAGCATGAGCATGAGCGTGGCATGTGGTGTGATCCACACTATTGACTGGAGAGGCAGACCCTCCAATCCAAACAAGCATGGAGGAACCAGAGCTTCTACTTTTGTTCTTGGTATACTTGCATACATATGCATTCTTTTTTATAAAGTGCTTTAGCAAAACTTCACATGCCAACTTAATTTATACCAAAAACTGCTAGCTGCTTAATTTATATTAGAGATTGATGCTTTAGCTTCTAGTTCTAGCTAGAAAAGTAATTAAAAGCTACTACGTCAAGGACCAAATTTAATTCTAGTGACCATATAACAGTACTATGCATATCAATTAATTACCTCCACTTCCATGACGAAAATTGAGCCGGATTAAGGTTTAGGACTTTAGGTTATTAGTTTTCATTTACTTAGCTTGCTTTAGGATTGACTATGTATCTATTTATCTGCAATCTCTTATAATTGCCCAGCTAATGATTCTTGACTTTGCATTATTGTACTGTGCATAGATGAATATGTATGTGTTTAATGTTTCAGGGCTTCAAGCATGTGAAATAATGGCAATAGCTGCAGTGGGAAACAACCTCATAACTTATGTAATCAATGAGATGCACTTCTCTTTGTCCAAGTCTGCCAACGTAGTCACTAACTTTGTTGGAACTATCTTTCTCCTCGCCCTCCTTGGTGGTTATCTATCAGACTCTTATCTTGGGAGCTTCTGGACTATCCTCATCTTTGGCTTTCTGGAACTCTCTGTAAGCTACCTCTCTCTCTCTCTCTCTCTCTCTCTCTCTCTCTCTCTCTCTCTCTCTCTCTCTCTCTCTCTCTCTCTCTCTCTCTCTCTCTCTCTCTCTCTCTCTCTCTCTCTCTCTCTCTCTCTCTCTCTCTCTCTCTCTCTCTCTCTCTCTCTCTCTCTCTCTCTCTCTCTCTCTCTCTCTCTCTCTCTCTCTCTCTCTCTCTCTCTCTCTCTCTCTCTCTCTCTCTCTCTCTCTCTCTCTCTCTCTCTCTCTCTCTCTCTCTCTCTCTCTCTCTCTCTCTCTCTCTCTCTCTCTCTCTCTCTCTCTCTCTCTCTCTCTCTCTCTCTCTCTCTCTCTCTCTCTCTCTCTCTCTCTCTCTCTCTCTCTCTCTCTCTCTCTCTCTCTCTCTCTCTCTCTCTCTCTCTCTCTCTCTCTCTCTCTCTCTCTCTCTCTCTCTCTCTCTCTCTCTCTCTCTCTCTCTCTCTCTCTCTCTCTCTCTCTCTCTCTCTCTCTCTCTCTCTCTCTCTCTCTCTCTCTCTCTCTCTCTCTCTCTCTCTCTCTCTCTCTCTCTCTCTCTCTCTCTCTCTCTCTCTCTCTCTCTCTCTCTCTCTCTCTCTCTCTCTCTCTCTCTCTCTCTCTCTCTCTCTCTCTCTCTCTCTCTCTCTCTCTCTCTC